CTGTTTTCTCACCCATTCTGCTCTTTATGTCTCTTGACTGTTACATTTAATCCATTTACACTCAGTGTCATTATCCATAGGTATGAATTGACTGTTGTCATTTTTCTGGGTTTTGTGGTGCTGCTGGATTCTTTGCTCCACATAATTTTCTGCACTGAATTCATTTTGTTTGTGGGTTTTCTTGTCATTTTCATTTCTGTTGTGTTCACGTTTATGAAATCTTTCTGGTTTCCCTCTTTTTTTTATTTTGATGTACAAGTGTATTATTTTTTCTTTGCTGTTATCCTGTAATTTACTAATTTTGTTACTGCTTAAAACAGTCTATTTTATCGTGACATCTACCTGACTTCCTTGCCATTTGGAAGTTCCCTATCTACACTGTTAACTGTTTTGCTTTGTAGTTGACTTCATTAGACATTGGGATCTCTGATTCTCTATTATTAGTCTTGTAGAGTTTTTTTGTTTTTGTTTTTGTTTTTTCTTGTAGAGTTTTTACTTGAAATACTTCTATATCTGAATTAACTTCTGGGTGATATTGTCATATATGGTAATCTCAGGTTGTTGTCTGTGTTTGTTGATTCTCAGTCCAAGAAAAAAAAACTTTTAGCACCTTTTACAATGTTTGTCAGGTCATTACAAATTTCTTTAATTTCTATTTATCAGGAAATGTCCTAATTTTACCGTCGTATTTGAGGGACAGCTTTGCTGGGTATATGACCCTTGGTTGGCTTTTTTTTTTTCAGAGTTTTATATATGTCACCCCATTTCCTTCTTATCTGCATGATGTCTGCTGAGAAATCAGAGCTTAGTCTTGTTGGTTCTCCTTTGTAGGTAACTTTTCGATTTCCTAAACTACTCTCAAGATTCTTTACTTGTCTTGGATTTTGGAAAGTTTGATTCTGTTATGTCCTTATTTTCTTTGGGGCTCTATCCTGGTTGGGGTTCGTTCAGCTTCTCATATACTTAACTTCTCATCTTTCATTATGTTAGAGAAGTTTTCTTCAAACAATTCTTCAACATTTTTCTCTGTGTTTGTCGCTTTCTGTTTTGGAATTCCAATCACCTGTGGTTGTTCCTCTTCATGGTGTCCCACATAACCCAGGTTTTTAACTGTTTTGGGGGTTTTTTTTCATTCTTTTTTTCTGATTGTTCTTCTAACATACTAAAATTGAGAAATTTGTCTTCAAGCTCACTAATTTGGTCTTCCATTACTTCAAATCTTCTGCTTTGCCCTTTCAATGTTTGTCCATTTCTGAGACCTTAGTGATCTTCTGGATTTCCAGTTGCAGGTTTTATGTTGTTTCAAAACTTACAGATTTATGTTGTATGCTTGTTCTTGTAATGTTTTCATGAATTCTTCTAAAGTTTTCATTGTGTACTCCCTTGCTTTCCTCAATCTTTCTATTAATCCTTTGAAGGTACCTAATTAGCATTCTTCTGAATTCTTTTTCAGTTAGTTCTACTACCTTTGCTTCCTCAGACACATCTCTGGATCTGCAGCTTGATCATTTGTTTGAGCCAAGCCTTTCTTGTTTCTTCGTGTGAGTTAATATTGTTGTCTCTGAGGCACTGTGAGATTGTCGTATTTGTAAAAACAAATAGTATAGTTGTTGGGCCCGAAGGAGAGAAATCTCTAGGGGCTTCCTGCAATTGAAGGAGCTCATGAAGTAGTTGTGGAAGGGATGTGGCAGCAGAGTGCCTGACCCTAGATGGAGTTCCTATTGGCCTCGGTGCTACCTATGTTCAGGGCACTCAATCTGGAAGTAGTTTGTGGCACAGCCAGACCCTGGCTCACGCTGGCATGGCTCACCACCATGCAGCTCCAAACTCTTAGAGAGCAGGGTCTGCACTGGCGGTGGATGAGAAGGGGAGCTGACCACACTTCTGGTCACCAGGGGAGTGTGGGCAAACAGAAGAAATTGTATATTTTCTGTCACCTGTGTGAATCGGCTATGCCAGGTCTCCCTCTGCTGCTGAAACTGCTCACATGATGGAGCAGGTCGGCATTCACCAGCCAGTCCCCCTCTCTCACCGTTCCTGCCGGGAGTCTCCACCCAGCCAGCACTCTCTAACCCTTCTCTGAAGCTCAGGGTGCCATAATGTTCATGTGTTTGCTTGATTTTGTCTCTCATACCTTCGTTGGAGCAGGTCCATGTGGTGCGCCTGCCTAGTCCACCTTCTAGCCAGAAGTCTAAGATGCTCTTTTTGACAATGAACGTGACACCATTTCTCTTCAATTTGCTGTTCCAGGCATAGTGACCCATATGACCGTCCAATTCAAAATGGCTAACAGAAGTCCATTTCAGCTCACTGTATTGTTGTTAAATTCCATCGAGTCAGTTCCAACCCACAGCGACCCTGTATAGTGAGCTTGAACCGCCAACCTTGTGATTCAAATGCCTTTGCAGTCCAGCACATTAACCCGCAGCACCACACCAGAAGACACGTGCTAACAAGGGTGACAGGGCAGGCAATATACAACAAGCGGGAGATTAGCAGAGGAAAGATGAAGGTAGCAGGAGACACAGGGAGAAATGCAATCATTAATATAAACAGAGGCAAATGCTGTGAACTGATGGTGCATGGAGGGGATTGCAGTCACTGGAATGCAGCAAAGCGTATGATGTGCTGAATGTAAAACTGAAGATCTGCTCTTAAACCTTCACTCAATTCACAGTAAAAAGTTAAACGAAAAAAAGAGCACCATAGAACAGTGGCTGTCACTTTGTTGTTGTTGTCGTTGTTAAATGCCATCTAGTCAGTTCTGACCATAGCGACCCTGTATAGGGTTTCTGAGGAACGGCTGGTGAGTTTGAACTGCCGACCTTTGTGTATCAAACCGACTTTGCAGTCTAACACATTGACTGACCCACAGCACCACACCACTATTAACTGTTATTTCTATTATTGTTGTTGCTGTTGTTGTTAAGTGTCATCAAGTCGGTTCTGACTCATAGCGACCCTGTATAGGGTTTCTGAAGCTATAACGCTTGATGGAAGCAGAAAGCCTCATCTTTCTCCTGCGGCGTGGTTCGTGGGCTTGAACTGCCGACATTGTGATTAGCAGTCCAATGCTACAGCTCCACCACTGCCCCCACATTTCTATGATCAGAAGAAGAAACTCCCCTCAAAAATGAAAATAGTTCAAAGTAAATTCACGTGAAGTGAAATTTGCCAAAAGTGATACATGAAGACCACCGACTCTTTTCCTACCGATTTTGGAAAGTGCTGTGGGAAAATCAGGGAGGGAAATAAAAAATAAAAATTCTAAAAGTGTGCTTCACCTGTTATAACCATCCAAAACTTGACAATAAAGTGAGTGCAACGCAGCTCTGTGGTGGCATGATGCGAACTGGTTTCTAGGGGCGGAGCAATTGGATGACCCGAAGAGGATGGCACTCGGATGCAGACAGTAAGGAGACTCCAGTCTCCTGGGAGTTATGAAATGATCCTCTACCAACAAATTCACCTGCAGCAGCATCTACCCAGAGGGAACTCATGCTTGGTTTCCATCCGTCCATCCAGGTACGGGGAGGAAACACGTGTGGCAGGGCAGCAGAACCCAACTATCCCCTCAGGTCAGTGGAGGTCAGACCCAGTCCACTCTAACTTGGGGCCATTACAGAAGGTGCCGCTAAGTGCCAAATGCTGACTTCTTGGGGCCTTCCTGCTAACTGAAGACAGGACCCTGATTAGCAAAGTCCCACAGAGCTGTCCTCACGTCTCAGTAGTTTAGACTCAGTTTACCCAGCCTGACTGGAAGTTTCACAAGAGACTTACTTGCTGGAAGCATCTGGTTCTCGTACCGAGTGCAGTGGTCCCCACCCTGACACACACCACACTAGCCAGAGTCGGACTCACTGGGTCTACTGGTCAAAGCCCTCTTGAATGTTTCCCCCACTTAAGCTACTCCGCCCCTCAGCACCATAAGATCCTGGGGCCCAGAGAGACCTCAAGTTGTTTTCTAATCAGTAACCCAGTGTCCTGGAAACAGAAGAAAGCATCGGTTTTCCTTTCTCTACACATTCCACAAACCATCTCCAGAAGCATAGCCTAGAGAAGGGATCCAGTGCAGATAACCAAAGACTCTTCAGAGCTGGGGCCGCTTCCTTCCACAGTCACGCCACACACAAGAGACAGAGGTCCCTGAGCAAATGTGCAAGCTACCAAGCCGGTGAGCAGGGCTGTGGGATTGTTGGTCTTCCAATGAAGGGCGTCTGTAGGTTTTCATGAATGACCCTTTGTCGCTGTCTGTGATGAAGCCAGGAGAAAAGCCCACCACCCAGCCACTGTCATCGAGTCCAATCCAAACGCACAGCAACCCGATCGGACCTAGTAGAAGTACCCCATAAGGTTTCTGAGACTGACAATCTTTAGGGGAGCAGACAGCTTCATCTTTCCCTGGAGGAGCAACCAGGGAGTTTGAACTGCCCCAACCTTGCAGATAGCAGCCCCATACTTATCCCGCTGTGCCACCAGAGCTCCTTAGTAGACTTTGGCTGTGAATGGCCTGAGGTGTTAGAAGAGTGGACCCACCTCTGTAGGAAACACAAAAAGTCCCATTCTCTGTGAAGTGCACACACAAAATGCAAACACAGGCTTCCAGTTCATGTTGCGAGGCGCGGGGACGGCAGGATCAGAGCAAAATCGTGAATTCAAAATGAACAGGAAGGACAAGCATGCTCAGTGCATTCAGAGAATTGAAGCCATGATCTCAAAACATTCACTTCCCCATGCTGGAAGAAGAGGGGTTCCTCTTCGGCAAACAACACAAAGAAAGCAACAGGGTGACCAGCATACGGGGGTGGGGATGGGGTAGAAGGGATCCAGACAATAATTTTTAATCGTTCTGATTTAAAAGTACTTAAATCAGAATGCTCCCCAGATCGCAATCCAGAAATGTTAATTAACCATTCATTCACACCACCATGAAATGAGCACTTCAAAACAACCACCACAAGGAGAAGCAGAGGAGACTGTAAGCACAGAGTCCATGGTACCTGGGTCAATGAGAACTTCTTGTGCCCCTGGAAGAAAGAACAGAGGATGGTCTTTTACTTGGAAAACAAAACGGCTTCTAAAGATACTACTAGATTCCATTTCATAATTCACACTGAGAAATCAGAGACGCTGCCGTCTGATTGGAAACGCAGTCCCGAATGTCTGCCGGTGAGTCACACAGGGGGTGCCTTTTGGCTAGAGGAAAGAAATAAGAACTCAGGGCTCCTAAAGTCAGATCCTGAGGACAGTGTAGTCTCCTGCCCACCTTGTAAGTCTGGCTCCTCAATTCTTGTTAAACAAGTACCTGAACCTTATTGCCAGCAAAGAAGTCAAATGGGGGGCAGAGGTGCTGAAAGGCTAGAGAGAAACATATCCCTTGAAGTCAGTCAACTCTTCTTTCTTTCTCTCTCTCTCTCTCTCTCTCTCTCTCTCTCTCTC